GTGGTGTATGCAACGACACCAACCCCCTTCCCCTTTGTGCATACATACTTTATGCTTCAAGCCAGTGATCCAACACTACAAAACTCTGTGCAGCCGCTAGCAGCAGTAAGGTTTCAGCTACAGTACGTACAACTTTCAGGCCACTTCAGCTCCATCAAATTAGCCCCTTGCCTGAAATTCTGGTCTTTATCGCAAATGTTACATGTAGTAGTTAAAATTATTTCTCTTCAAAAGTCTGAAGTTCGCCAACTAGCAGAATATGACAGCCCTACCTCAGAAAGAGTCATAAGAGTCTATGGCCTTGTTTGTTTCATATGGATCTTGATCACGATCAGTGATTCGTCGTTGGTTTACGGACACCAAATATCGCCTAATGGATGGTGCCAACCAGCATTAGGTTCCTTGATTGAGATCCGTCTGAAACTAACAGGCCCCAAATGTTCCCCATAGGAGGACTATCATATGCTGACTGTTCTATTCCTTCTTTTGGGGGGATTCAGATTTTTGAGAAGGACAACCACATGGCGACACTGGAGCAGGAGCACACCTCGTTGCAGTCCAAGCTGCGGTCGTTGAGGGAGGACCTGACCGAGCGGGAGGGACAGCTGCACGTGGTCCGCCTCAACCTGGAGACCTCAGAGACGCAGAACCGCCGCCACGCGCAGTCCGTTGCGCACTATGAGGAGTCGCTGGCGCAGCTCCAGGCCGACCTGGAGAAAAGCCAGGAGGAATACAGGAGCGCCCACGCTGAGGTGCGTAAGGAGAGGATGTAAAATTCAACAGATATTACCTGGTATTTATCTCCAGTTGTTTCAAGGTTTAGGCACAGGAATACAGGAGCATGTACACCAAGGTGTGCAAGGGAAAAATGCAGAATCCAAGAAGAGGTACCATGTGGTTTATATCAAGGTTTTAACAAAGTTTGATATGGTAATGGCTATGAGTTACCCCTTGTTTGATGCTGTATCCTTCCTTTAATGACACAATATGAAATGTGGGCTTGCCAAAGGATGTGTCAGTCTCAAGCTCCCCACAAAAAACTTTGGGCGTACAGAAATTTCAATTGTGTACTAGACATTTTCAGAATGATGACTCTGGTCATAAAGTTCAATGATCCCAGAAAATTGTCCGCTTTGAAACATGAGCCCTTGCCAGTTTTTGTCTGTTCTACTTTTCGATTTTGAGATTGACTCGTTTTTATGTCCACATTGGTTCCCTCAAATGTTGTCACTTTAAAGAGCACCTCTAAGTAAAATATGTTTTCTCAGATTTTATCCATTTAAATAAATATGGAAGCATCCAAATCAAACGCAGTGTCATTTGTCTGCAGAGCTTAACTATAACAAGATAAAAAGGGCTTTTTAGCTGTTCATGCCAAGATGCGAATTCTGAAGGCATGTAGCCATTGTTTGGCATGCACAAGGGTTTATCCACTACAGACACAGGGCGAGGGTTCCCCTCATTTTCTCTGTTTTCTCCGAATGACGCAATCTACATTCAGAATTTGCATCTTGGCATGAACTGACAAAAGGCCCTTTTTAGCTTGTTATAGTTGAGCTCTGAAGACAAGTGACACTGCATTCGATTTGGATGCTTCCATATTTATTTGAACAGATAAAATCAAAGAAAACATGTTTTTCATAGAGATGCTCTTTATTTCCAAGGCATTTAAAATAGTCAGTGCCCTTTGTGTTTGTATTTAATCACTGATCAAAGCATCGGTTCTGTTCTAGGGGTTTGTTCTTGAGTGGAAAGAGACAATTTGTGATATAGTGCCTTGCCTGTGGACGCAATGTATGTCCAGCTGCTGGATTCATACCCTTGGACACTGTGATTTGGACTTACAAATCCTAACCACCAGGCCACGCGCCCGCTTGCCCGACACGATAGGTAACGTTCATTTCATGTTGTACATGCTTGTTTTCCAAAGCTGGTTGAGAGCCAGCAACAGATTAGGGACATGAGGGTGCAGCTGAGCGAAGTCCAAGGCCAGCACAAGGAGGCCATGAACCAGCTGGGTGAGAGGGCCACCCTTGCCGCCAAGCTACAGAGCGAGCTGTCCAGGGCCGACAAGCAGAACCATGCACTGTCGGAAGAGGTCAGTCGAGTTAAAAAGATTGAGTCTAAAACAAACGTAGGCTTAGAAGACTTGTCTTAAATCTCCTTAGTAACTAACTTGTCCCTTTGGACATTTGTTCGTGTTAATCTGAAAGCAAGTTTTGAGACCAAAAATGTTATTTCTAACAAAACACAAAACTTGTATTCTGTGAGAAATTGTACCTGTCGACTTTAAGCACTATCGCACAGACTTGTATCACCTTTTCAAGGAGTGGGTCGCAAATTGTTGACGAGATGGTCCAAACCATCCGTCAGTCAAACTGTTGTAAACAGTGGTGGTGGCTAAATATCGATCTGAGCGCCAGCCTCCATTGTCTGAACAGGTGGGCATGTACGAGGACAAGATGCGCAAGCTCCGGGGTGAGCTGAAGAAGGTCCAGGACCTGAACCACCAGAGCCAGCAGGAGGTGCAGAACTACGAGGCTCACGTGGAGCAGCTGGCCGACAAGCTGCGGCACGCCGAGGAGAAGCAGCGGCTGAGTGTGCAGGAGGTAGCCATGCGGGAGGAGCAGATCGTGGTGCTGAAGGTGGAGGTGGCCTCGCTGCAGGAGAAGCTCAGGCATCGCATTGAGGAGGTACGGTCTTATCCAGTTTGCAGACCCTTTATGTGTAATATTTTGTGTTTTTGTGTCAGCATGGTTATTTAAGAAGTTTTAAGACAGAAATTATTACTATAGTGTGCCCGGCTCATATCTTTGGGTTCATGTCCACTTCGGGTTCCCCTTTACACAATGTCTTGTCTCCCTCTTTATGTAAATACTGGATCCACCCGTGCTTTTCTGGATTTTTGGTGTCAAAGTAGGACATCCGCATCTGTTCATCAATATATTCATTCTGGGTCTGCAAGTATCATTCTGTTGCTTAGATTAATTGATTGATTTGTTAAATTACCCATGTGATATTTTCAAGGCATAAGAAAATGACCAATGAACTTCCTAAACAGAATATCTTGAATGTTCCAGGCACAAAAACCTTTTGGCCCAGAATAAAGTTGGACGAACATGAGGAGGCCCTCTGTAGTTGGATATAGTATGAGTGTGCAGACAAGCACTGAAATTGCTCTCATCAGAAACATTTCCTTCTGACAAACCCAAGATGGACTGCTTGCTTTTTTTATTGATTGAATCTTATTTAAAAATCTGAATACAAATCAAATCTGTCGTATGATTCCTTGAAGCCGTTGTTGAAAAGAGAAGGTTTACTTGATTGAAAAACATAATAGTTTTGAAAATCATAAGTCACATTCCCAGAAGAATTTGTTTTTGGTAATCTCATGAATTCCAATTTGAAGGGGCCACTTCAAGTTGACAAGCCCAGTAAACGTATGCAGACAGTGTCATTGATGAGATCTGAGTAGCAAAGCTGTCGCATTGCATCGTACGTTACCATTGAAAAAGCATGAACGTAGTCAGGTTACCTGAGCCCTACCAATTATCTTTGGCATCACTCCACGGTCACCCTGATAACTAATTGAAATGGTAAAACTTCTCGGGCACTGCATCAATTTGGTCCCTTTTGTTTAGTCACAAGGGTTCTTTTTACAAACAATACAGAGTGACAAATTGGTGAAAGAGGTCAACGAGGCCACACAGAAGCACATAGATGTCTGCAAGGAGAACGATCGTCTGAGGACATCGTTGGAAGAAGCCCGTGCTAACGGTGACCGCCTGCACAGTGAGAGCGAACTAGTCGTCTCAAATGTCAACTCTTGGGTCCAAAGCCAAAAGTAAGCCCCAGCGAAAGAGAGGAAAACCACCATTTGGAAATTAAATGTATTTCCTGCAGTCTAATGGTTTGCCCCAGCAAACATTACTTTGGCCCAAATGCCAAATCTTTGTCGCAAGTCCCCAGAGCTGGTTTGAAACTACAGATCCTCATACCATAATCTTGATTCAGCACATTTCCTAAATCAACATTATTTCCTTTTTTGCTTTATTTCCATGGCCATAGAGAAGCCAATGAGAAACTTGGGGCCAAGATCAAAGAGCAGAACCAGACGATCAGAACGCTGAACAAGGAGAAAGAGTAAGTAGTTATTATCACATCCCTGATCAACAAAAAATACATTGAGCTTTTACTGCCTTAAAAATTATGATTGTTCATTGGCCGTGCTGGAGAAGAAGCATTGCTTGTTGTCTGCATAATGAGGTTTAGCATTTTACATACAGGCATTGCCTCGGCCAATTGGTCCAATGCTCTGAAAACTTTAGCAGGTCTGTCTGCATGTCAGAGTTGGAGGCAATCTCATGTTCCTGGTTCAGACTGTATTAGTTCCAGATTTATCACTGACAAACTGCATTGACAGTGTTGTGCTGTATTGTTTGCTTATTGGGCAGTCTATTGGCTGTATGTGTGCCGTAGCCTTCCAGAGATCAAAAAACAAAAATTCCATACCATGTTGACACCCCAGCTATTTTTTGTCAGTCGTGTGCTGACATTCTGATAAAAAAATTGTGATTGATGCAGGAAATACATGTAGGTGAAAACCTTACGTTTGTACCTTCAGAAAATAGTAGTTCATAGTGTACAGAAACTAGTTTGCTAGTGCTGGCATTGAGGGTTCAGTTCTTTTAGAGATGCCAAGCAGAATGACTGCTGAGCAGTTTAAGAGCTAAGCAAAGGTCAGCAGTGAATCATTTGCGAGAAATGTACAGTATTAGTTGATCAAACATTTCCTGTGCTTAGCAACTTTCCACGCTTTACTTTGCGAAACGTGACCTGAATGTAAATGACCACACCTTGCTTGCTTGGGTTGGTGTTGTGGCGCCTCGCTCATGGATAGACTCAGCCAGTACATTCCTCTGTTTGTCTCCGTCTTCCGCAGCCAGCTGCTGGAGAGCGGCGAGGTGCTGCAGCAGACGGTCAGCCGGCTCAAGCTGGAGAACGAGGACCTGCGAGTGGCCGCCGAACGCTTCAAGGCCCTGCAGAGCCACTCGTCTCATCAGCAGATGCTTCTGCAGCAACTCAAGAGCAGGCTGGAAGATCACGAGTGAGTTGGCCATGCACTTCAAATGGCACAGCAATCAGAAACTCTTGCTGACTTTGTAAAACATAAGGACATTACTCTGGTAGTGTAAAAAAGTTTGAGCTGTTTTAGAAGTTTAGTCATTATGGCCTTATTACTTTTTGAACTCTACCTTAAACACCAAATACGACATTGATAGAAGACTTGTGCCTTGTTAGCTTACAGTGTTTATACTGTTATCATCAGTTATGTAGTCGAGTTCATCACGAGTCCAGTCACAGATCGTTTCAACAGTCCAGTCAGTCCATTCTCAAGATCGTTCAGAAGTAACAGGTTGTAGAATGACAAAAGAATTTTTTCACAATAGCATAACTCGCGACTTTGCTCAAGACCAGATGACTTGTGATGGACTTGACTCCAACACTGGTTGTCATTGTTACAGCCCACTGCTGGATGTTGTGTGGATTGCTATTCATTGCTCTATTCAGTCTCACCCAAATGTGGTTGTCAAGGCCCCAATTGCACAGCCACAAACAGTCCAAGAAACTGCCTAAAATGATTGAATGGCCCCTTCACTTCCTACCCCACAGTCATTTATCTGCGTGCTCTTACTGACCCCCCGTCTTTTCACCAGGACGGACCAGGAGCAGGAGATCTCGGAGAAGCTGGCCACCATCGAAGACCTCCATGGCCGGCTGAAGGCCAACGTGGCCACTATCCAACAGCTGAACGAGCAGCTGCACGCCCTTAAGCAGGAGACAGTCCGGCAGCGCTCAGACATTGAGAAGGAGCGGGCGGCCCGGCAGAACCTAAGGATGCAACTGGATAGCCGAGAGCAGGCCTTCAGTGCCCTCAAAGCTCAGGTGGGGGTCGCTAGTCCAAAGACCCATCTATTAATAGATGCTTTTCTTGGGGAAGCCATTTTTTTGTCTTGTTCCCTGAATCTGTTGTATTCAATAGAATGTATTAAACGGGTGGTACACTGTACCAGACTATTTCGAGTTCTAGATCTCACTTTCTGTTTTTTTGTATGAGACTTGAAATATTTTAGATATCACTAATCACTAATTTTAAATATTTCTCATCAAACATTGGCATGGATTTTATCTGAAATTTATTTTGTCACTGTGACATTAACTCTCAGGTGAAATGTTTTACCAAGCTTCCTTGTGGCTACGGCTATGGATTGTCACAGTGGCATATTGATGGCAAAATGCTGGTCATATGGAAAATTCTGTTCTAGAACACGGCTGCATTTGTTGATTTATTGAAAATTTCTACACACCAAGTTTGCATCCATTAATCCCAACTCCATAGATGGTTTTGCAATAAACCCTCTCGAATCCTCCAACATCCCAAGAAATCATAGTGCATTTTTTGTACAGCAGTGTTAAACCAGGGTGTATGAATGCTTATATTGCAATTGGGGGTTTCAGGGCTGTTTGAATTGACTTTCAAAAAGGCGGTATCAAGTTATTGTGGAAGAAGATAAGCTTGGCTCGGCATTTTTTAGTCCAACAAATACTTTCAAAAACTTGCTGATGGATTTTGAAGGGTCTGGGAGAATTAAGATCAGCCAAACAAGGTACAGATAACTACCCACTAGCCTCCAAATGCTGTGGTTGAAGTTGTTGAAAAACTCTTGAATATTTTCTTTCTTCCTAATTTTTGAGTCCAAGAGTTGGCTGATTTTAAATTTTCTATGGTTTAATGATCTGTTGCACAGCTATGTTCAGCTTTCCAGTAGAATTCAACAGCTATTTCATCTTTTGCGACTTGTAGATGGAGTCAGAGAGATACCAGTGGACTGTGAATGGGACCGTGCCTCGTCATGGTGGTGAGACATACACAGACGGTGTGGTGTCAGAGTCCACTTACCCCTCAGGACTGGGGAGGGGCTCACAGCGACAGAGCAGAGAGAAGGTATCGCTCAATGACCAGAGGAGAAGTTTGCCTCGGGGTCAAGGGTCGTCAGAGACCCATTTTCACCCAACCCTTCTGAAGGAACGGGGAAAGTAGACCCCAGCCACCGTTACTTTACGTGGGCCTTGGTGTTGCTTAATAGAAAGAACATAGGAAAGAGTAAATTTTGAAATACTTTTTTAGTGCTATGGCTTTTAAACTTTGTCTGCTAAGCGTGTATTTTCTTTACTTATGACAAGTTCTCACCAGAATGTGCACAAACCCACAGCTCCTTCCCGTGACAGGAATAAACCTGTACATGGACTTGCTATGAAAATACTGAAAAAGTGTCCGTCAGCAGTGGTAGTGATCACTGACTGTTGTCTATCTCTTTTTTTTGTCACAGATGCAGTCGGCCATCAACAGCGCCCTCAAAGATGCTGGCGTGAGCGACCCCAATGCCCTGGACAAGTCATACTGGGTCCAGCGTGTGGGAGAGCTATCCCTGCAGCTGCAGCAGAGCAGTGAGTTCTGGTCAGAGAAAGTCCGGGACCTGTCATCCCAGCTGCAAAGGTCACAAAGCCCCTCGCCTCATAAATGACTGGGAGCAAGCTCCTCTCAATGACAGAGAAAAGATTAGCATATGAAAAAAAAAGTGTAGTCACTGCCTACTGCTATTTCGTGGCGTGGTGGATTTTATGTTCCTGAGCAGGACATGTTGCCATAATAGCCTATGGAACCAGACCATTATCTTGACTGTGTGCAGTCCTACAGAGGCAGACTGTATGTATAAAACCTGCATTACAGAAACAGCCCTATGCTTCCCCCAACCAAAGCCGGCAAAGATGGTACTCATGCTACTAGGGAAGCATTTACGAGTATGCTCAGTCCCACTGACCAGTGACCAGCCAAGGAATATCTATCAGGGCCCATTTCCAGATTTTTCAAAAATGAACCATTCCTACGAACACGTCAGGGCAGAGCGTAATGTCATGCGCAAAGCAACAGTTGGGCTATGTAGTATAGTTTCATCACAAAGGCACATTGGTCGAAATCACTAGCTCGTTTGAATTTGTCATTAGAAATTGGTACAAGCGTTGGAAGGAATGTGTAGCCGAACTTGAGTAAAGCGAACTAAACCAGTTTTGATCTTTTCATCATATGCAACCATGGTAGAGTAGAACACGTGCCACAGTTGTTTCCAAATCGCTTGCCTGTGGCTCAAAGCAACACACAAGCCTATGGGAAGTGTTAACTATTGGCTTCCATAAGAGCATGTTTTTTCCAGCCATGACCAATCAAGTTGGCCGCTGCTCACATTGTCACTTACTAATATTTAAATAACTGCCTACTTAGATAGTCCCTAATGGTGACAATAATGTTTTGTATCTGCTCCTGGAAGACAGTACTCATTATTAAGTTTTCTCCGTAACTAGCTTAAAATTGATTTGTGTCTTGAGCAGTAGTAGTCATTGTAAATACTTCAGTTTTTATTTATGGAATGTAGAACAAGTTTATATAAAATGTTTGAGTTTTATAGCACTTGGTTATTTTATTGTGGTTTTTGATGTATCTTACAGAAACTACTCAGAGTAGAGTTCAACTTCAGACTTGAATACAGGTATTGGGAGTAGTCTGCCATTTTCCTTTTAAAGGGAGTATTTCCCTCTGTAAGAGAAGTCTATATCATTGAAAGATACGTCCTGATTGGATAGCAATGAGTCACTTCTCAAAAATGTAAGTGAATGCAAGCCCAGTGTTTCACACTTTTAAAACTGGAGCGAGAAGTTTGTAAGCTTGTGTAAAAGTGCCAAAATTAACTCTGCCCTGCTAGGTGTGAAATAATCAGACTTTAACCAAAAATATTTGTCAGTATTATTTTTATCCTTGTTCCTCTACATGTCACAATTTTTCAGTGTAAAACCCATACTCCTTTTTTATAACTTTTCTAGAACATTGTGGTGAGACAGTGAACAGTACTTTTTTTTAAAACTGCCTTATCTGGTGTACATTCCACTGAAATGATTATATATCTATTTGGTATAAACTGTGTACATTTTTAATAGGAATTTTATTTCATTCATGAACTTTTTATACACTTTCTGGCAACAGAAATGGTCAATGTTTTGAAGTGGATGTACTGAACAAAACGTTATTGATTGCAAGTATGTGAAGTGACGTGTCGAATTTCTCTAAAATTGTATTTTCTTGGAATAACAATGGTTGGATGACTTTCTGCCTTAATTTTTCTGACCAATTCCGTCCTTTTTTAATCCGGAAGTAACTTTTAAATTTGTATAATCCTTGAAAACTTTCTTTTAAAGGATACATAGTGACTCTGGCTTCCTTTTGTAACGTATGTAGATAACTGCAGTCGCTGATGTGTTATCACAGGAGATCTTTTCGCCAGTTTTGTTTTATTTCATGCTAAGCATGGTAGATACATGTACTTATATTGCTCAAAATGACAGTTCTAAAAATATCTTACGGTGACTTACAAAGCAGTCAATATATGCAACTAACCTTGTTTGGATTTAGGGGAGAAGCTTTCTATCCAAGAACAAAATGGCTAATAAATAGTTAAATTCTGCCTTAAATGTGGTCCTAATGTGTTATGTTTGGGTTTTGTGTCCCCCATAAACCGGGAGCAGCTAACCGAAGAGGGCGCAATTTAAAAAATTCCCTCTCCTCGATACGGCGCTTTTAAAGGCACCCCGTACGCTTGCGTTCATCTGCTGTTTGGAGTGTGTTGGGGCATTCGATGTTGTCGACCAATCGCTGGTCTAGTTTGGTCATTTGGGGGAAGTATCGCCGAGTGCAGATACAGGAAAGACACGAAAACGGAACAAACTAGAGGTGGGTAGCTTTGTGAAAGCAACGTGTTTTGGGAGCAATGTGTGGCCTGTGGGTGTACAGAGCGGGAAAAGGCGTGTTTAAAATAAATGAGCTGGGTTCATCAGCTTTGGATGGTAGTATCCAAGTAGGCTTGCGAGCCTCGGGCCCATTCTGGAATACTTCGTCCAAATTCTTCGATTTGGCATACTCTGAATCATTCATTCTTCGTCACGTAACACTGTGGATTGAGAATAGATATTTACCGAGTTACTGCTTATCTCTTTGAAACTGCACTGTTTTTAAAGACCATTAATAGAAACCATTTTTTTTTTAATGAGCGCCATAGCCTACCTGCTAAGTAATCCACAAGTTCCCTGCACACGGCTGGTAGACTGCTACCGTGTTGGTTACTGGCCACAACTTGCACAATGTACACGTTGTCATGGAGGTTGAACCTTGAACTATCACGTAACAGATGTCTGTGAGAAAAGAATAGAAGCTTGATTGACTTTTGAAATCGTTGACAATTAAATTATTAATCTAATTATTAAATTACAACTTCTTTGTTTTGTGTAGTGTTTTTCTGTCTTTTATTTTTTGATGTCCTGAGTATGTCATAATAGGCTACGTGAAATTTGTAAGGCCAATTGGCAAATTGTGAAAAGGCCACGAAAACGATACATTAATTGTACACACCTAAATAAAAAAAACCTCCGGGTCAGATTAACCCAGAATTGGATCCGCGGACGTATATAAAAATCTGGACTCGCAATGCCCTTAATCAGCTTATAGAGATCACTGAATCCACTACTCGCAGCCATTTTACTGTTACATGTATAATTTTAGCACGAGTGAACCGCCGAATTTAAGAGTGGTGACTCCAACAATAACCGTTAGACCTCCAAGTATTCGTTGCAGCCATTTTCGAGATTTGGGGGGCGAGTATGGAGCTTCATAGTGAGCTCTCACCCTGTGATTTGTGTGGGAACTTTGGCAAGTACAATCCAAGGCTTATCAATGGTCATCTTGATGTCTCTGATCATCACGTGGTACATTGTGGGCGCGGTGAAGTTAGACCACGTGACGGCCGACCAGCGAATCAGCACCTTGTATTCCCGCTCTATGGCGTAATTGCCGTATTCGATGATTACCGGATTGGGTGGAGCAGGGAAAGCTTAACAAAACAGGAAAACATTACAAAATAAAGAAATGTATGCTTACAAACAGAATATAAGACGAAAGAAATGAAAGGATGCATCACTTCCGTTTTATGGCTGGTAACGAGCCTGCAATAAAGCAATCCTTTTTTCATCATACGGACATCATTTATCTTAAATTAATATTTATTTCTAAGCTCACTTTGAAATAATAAGCGAGAAAAACAACTAATGCGCAATGATCTATTTCAGGTTTTCTTTTTTGTAAAAATAAACATTTTCATCAAAAATGATCATATTATAACCATGTTTGAGAGTCCTCACGACCAGGACCTGACTGTGACCGCTCATGGCCGCGTGATGCCCATACGTCGCCGTCAGGCACAGCTCGTAGTCGGTGAAAGCCGACAGCCCGCGCACGGTCATGGAGAATGTGATGTTGTCTTTGGTCGGCAACGTCCTGAACGACGTCAGGTTGTATATCCGGTAAGGGTGGACGCCCGATTTGGAATGGAGGACCGTGCTGAGACTTTCGTTTCCAGTTAGTCTACAAAACAGGAAGATTATGAATAATGCCTAAAGTGTGAGTAAAGGGAGGGAAACTGTGCCGTTTGCTCAAAAAATTCAGCTTTCAATGTAGTTCGAGTCATGAAAATATAAAATTGCTGTAAAAGTTTTAATTTATGCAGCACTGTCCACATTCTGTTAATTTAGTTTTCAATGTCGATGACTCGATTTATAATTTTATGTTTACCGTTGGATAACTTCAAATTTCCAACTTGAAATTTTACGTATTGTTACTCATCGAATGCTCAGTTTTGTTCAGTGTCTCTTTGGAGGGTTCACAATATACAGTGAATAAAGCCAACAATTCAATCTGATTTTCCCCTGAAACTCACCTTTTTCTGTAGTGTACGTTGTAATAGAGTAATGGCCACTCGTATTCCAATGGCAAACTCCAAACGACGGTGACATTTGTGTCACTTGGGATTAGAACGACGCCCTCTGGTGCTCCAAACACTAAATTATTTTGGGGAACATTGAAACAATCAGGAACATGTGCGTGACCGTGATAAAGGTTTCATGAAATATTTACGAAACAAAAATGACGTTTGATTGTGGAGTATAGTTGCCCTGTAAGCTGTATTGTACCAAATTTGACGGGAAATCGGGGCGGCTTTGAGTGCGTATAGTTTAAGTGGCACTTGAAAATCGAGTGTTTCCTCAAGTTGTGCCCGTTTGTGACTGACAAATTAAGATCCCTAACAGTTTCCCTCAAATAGCTTTCACCTCAAATAAACTTACGGTAATAAGAACTCTGTACGTTAGTTCTTTTCTCGACTATGTACTGCTTGAACTTGAAAAGAAGACTAGAGCTTTCAGATCCCTACTTCAGCAGATAAAGATGAGAAACATGCCCAGCAGATAAAATCTAAAAATCGTCAGATGTTCTGATCAGTTTAACTCACAAGGACAGGCCATAGTTTTACAGCGCCACGTCTTGACTGCATTCCCGGGGCACTGCCTACCGCCCCACTGCGGCTCAGGCTGGGAGCAATTCCTGACGGACACACGGTAGCTTCCTCCACAAGTCACAGGGCACGCCGACCAAGATGACCAGCTAGACCACAAACCGTGGACTGTAGCATGTTAAACAGTTAAAAATTGGCTAAGCAGACCGACCGTGGACTGAAGCTCAGCATGTTAAACAGTTAAAATTGGCTAAGCACAATATGAGGCTTATTGCCAAACAAAGTCCCTACTTCTCTTAAAATGTTTATCAATTTCGGGAGATCCACTCCTTTTGCCATTGCTAAGTTATTTGTGTCTGCATACTCCTCTAGTTGCGTATACGGTAAGTAAAAGTCAGCAAAAATTAACATTTACCCGGCAGTTAGTCTGAAATTACCTGAGCTAGCTCGTATTTGAGCAAAAGTTACTCTGGGGGAGAATTCGTCATTACTGAAGGCTTTTGAAATTTGACCAATATAGGAATCTGAGCAAACTTATGGTAGCAGTATTAAAATACTATTCATTTGGTTATATTTCAAACATTAACTTTCAGGATGTGACACATAAATGTTTGACTGGTTTTTAGTTCTGATAATTTAGGGGATACCACACTGAATAAAACCACAGGTATATGCAGTCCTTATTAAACTAAATGTTTTCAAGATGTATTTTTGCGTTGGGTAAGGGCAAAACCTGTTATATATAATTAAACTAAATGATTTTTCACAAATGCACGCAGGAAGCGAAACTCCGTGATCAGTTCGTTTACAACACCTTCGTCTTGGCATATTCTTACTTGGGCATGGCTGCTCGTTGCACCTCTGCCACTGACTGTAGCTCCTGGGGTCGCTGCTGTCGGGACAATCACTGCCGCCTGGGCCCGGCCGGGGGTCGGTACAGGATCGAGACCGGGCCTGAACACCACCGCGGCAGCTCCGGGAGCACACCGACCACGGTGACCACTGGGTCCAAGCGCCATCTTGAAACGAACAAAAGACATCTCCAATTTAAATCTTTTCCTTTGGTGTACTGGTTACAGCCTTTTTGTTGAACATCATGTAGGCCTAATGGATAGAGATGTATTAATGTGCTATTACAGCAGTGCTTTTAAGACCCCTTGGACAGAATCTAAACAATTTGTGTTTCGAAGTTATCAATACCCAAGCAGCGTTCGGTGTGACAGGCCATAGCGTCACCGCTGGTTCCCTCGCAGTCCAGCCCGCCGTGCGTCGGGGGCGGCTCGGTGCAAGTTCGATTCCTGAACATGGTACCACCCCCGCACGTCTTAGTGCATGACGTCCAGTTAGACCAGCCGGACCAGGCGCCGTCGACTGAAAACAAAAACAAAGCAAAGTCGTCAAAAATGGTTGAAAACCGGCGGCACGAGAGGACATGTCACAATAGGAAATGCGCTAGTTGAAGTGAATTCTCGCAAAATTAGGCAAAAGTGGCAAGCTAAACAACAGCATCTTGGGCTACCTCAAAGTTTGATATAATTGTTCATATTCCATCACAGCTTACCGCCACAAGGCTCCGGGTTGCAGTCGGGAATGACCTCCGTTGCGTTCCCTTCACAGGAACGGCCGCCAAATGCCGGCACGGGATTGGTGCAGTTACGGCTCCTTACGATCTCACCCCCACCGCAGGCCAAGGTACAGTTACCCCATGCCGACCATTCGGTCCAGTTACCGTGCACTGTACAAGAAAAGAAAAGTCAGCCGGTAGATATACATGTTTGGTGAAATGCAGTGTAAAATTGACTCTCTTTGACATGCAGGCCTGGTCATAAACCAACCAGATTGAAGATTATCGGTGTGACTGTAAAGGATTCTGCCGTCCAGGACTCGGGCGCCCTCACCCCCGGTCTCTCCTCATTGAAGGAAATTGCACTAAAGGATGCGACGCTGCCGTTGCACATAAGTGGACAATTTGGAAAATGTCCTTTGAATTCTCTGTTCGGTTTTGATAAGTGTAGATATGGTTTCTGATCAGATTCATGTCAAGGTTGGCTTGTATTTTATGGGCACTCGTTTTTTGGGACGATTTTTATGCAAACCACTTTGTAGGTGCCGGCTGACTGTGCGCGTTAGGGCGAAAACAAAACTGTGCTATACCACACTGGTGCGGATAGCATAAGGGTGCAGCCCTATAAGTGGGCATAAAGGCCGTCCGCCGAGCTCATTGATAAAAGTTATACACTCAGAATATCTTATATTAGAGCCATTAATTCAGGAATTCAAGAGATATTGCACCGAACCTCTGGCCAAGACTTTGACAGGGCTTCTAATTCTGAGCGATTTGGATGCAATCGAGTCCGAAAGTGGCGCCATTCAGCCGTTTTGCAGAGGGACGCTTTTTCAAAATGGCTACTTTTCTGGGCGGGCACTGTTTCCCTCAATTTAGGGGTGGTCTGCTTTGGGTGAGCATTTCTCAAATACTTATCGCTCAACCCACCGAAAATTGGGAGGAAAATGAAAGAGGATATGTTGATCATCATTTGTCTGTCCAGCCTGGACACCTGTGAGAGCTGTGAGTATTTTTCAAAGAATTTTGAAATATGGCGATTAATCACTCGTGTATGGGAATTTATTTCCGGTGTGCACCCATAAAGTTCTTGCACGTCTTGAACCAGGATTCACACGTCGGGCTTTTTGATTCGAGACATATTTCGAAGAACGTGATACCGCTGGTCATGTTGGACAGTTACGAGGTGTTAGTCTCCTCTTTTATGACTAGCATTCCTTATTCTCTGGCTGGTTAGGACTTTACGTGTAGAATAGGCCCTATATGTCGTATAGCTGGCCGGTCAGCAAAGCCTTTCGCATGTACTCCTGGAAACATGTCAGAGCGCGTAATTGCGAAGAACAGGGGGAGGTGTCTCCTTGTCAAGCTTGGGAAAAAAGGATAGGCCCCTAGTAGAGTGACAGAAAGTGGGGATGTGCCCTTGGTAGGGTTGGAGAAGCACCATCAGCTACCCTATGGCCACAGCGATGCCAGTAGATCGGTGGCGTAGTCATGGGGGGGCACGTGCCCCCACAAATTCCCGATGCCCCCAAGTGTCCCCCAGTGCCCTCCCCCCGAAAAAACCGGATGAATGGATATTGAACAAGGCTAACAAAACTTGCCCCAAAACCACACCACTGAAAGCTGGTGCCCCCCATGAGATGCTGGTGCCCCCTTTGTGCCCCCCACTAGTAAAATCCTAGCTACGTCACAGCAGGAGATACTTCTTTGATGTCAGTTCTTACTTTGTCTTCCTCTAGAAGTGATTAATACAGAAAACCTACACTCCAAGACACTGATTCCACCCGTTTTACCTGGGCAGTCGTAAACATCCATACAATCCTCCTGCTGGAAGTAGTTGTCCGGTATCCCCACCCCGGGGCAGTCATCACCCCCATTGGTAGGCGGTGGGTCGCTGCAGGTGCGCTCTCTGGTCTTGATACCAAAGCCGCACGTCTTCGAGCATGGCGACCATTCTGTCCACTGGGCCCAGTTGCCGTCGGCTGATTCGACATAATTAAAAACATCAAAATGTAAATATCAGCCCCACCCTTGTCACTCTGTTGCAGAGGAATTCACACAAGCCTTGTTCTTGACCTTTCAATATTCTGTCTGTACAAGCACACACTTCTTTTCTCACATGCGTGAATGCGTCTTTGCGCCTGATGCGGTCCGGGCCCAATTTCATGGCAGTGCCGAGGACACGATTTGATGCTATCAGTTTCCGCGTATTTCGTAGAGACCGTAAGCTGTAAGCACGGCAAAAGGCACGCTTACCTGGAAGGAAAAATGTGCTTAATGTGGTGACAAAATAATGGAAATGTCATAACTGCAAAGATCTATGAAATAGTGCTTTGGGCCATAGTTTGTTATAGTGAGCACTTTTCTGCTATAAACTGTGAAGCAGCTCCGTGGAAAAAGGCCCGCTACCGTAAGGGCACCGATTCTCAAAGGTTGGTACGGAAACGTGCACAGAATTCTTGAAAGGTTACAAAAATATCGGGAGACATCGGAAGACTCGTTCTGCAGATCTGCTGTCGAGATTAAAGAGGTGTATAAAATGACACAATACGACTCGGCATTCTTTTTGCATTCTGGCAAAAAGCAATACAAGAATTTTCTTGTAAGTATGGCGAACTGCTTCTGTTTTTCAGGATGATCACTCAAATTCTGCCACCTAAGACACCCTATCGATAATGTCACTATGGCAAGTTTTTTTTCTGTGCAACACGAATTGAATCAACGGTCCGAATAAATGTGAAAAGGATATTTTTCCCTTACGTGTGGATGTGAAATTTGGTACGGCTTTTTTAATATGATTCAGAGAGCTATTAGAACATAATGTAGCTGTATGACGCTAGCATCATTTTACTTCTGCAGGCGGCGTCTCCGCAGTCCGTGAACTCAGCGTCCTCTCCAGCGCAGTCAGACCCGCCATGCTCCGGGGCGGGGTCGGTGCAGGTGCGCACACGGCCCGTGGTGCCACCCCCGCAGGTGCGACTGCAAGCGGACCAGGTCGACCACGGGGCCCAGTTACCATCAACTGCAAGAGGAGTTAAACGATATTTTAAAGAGTGTCAAGGGCAGATTCAGAATAATTTTTTTGGGGGGGGGGCAAAAGGTTGATAATTTCGTTAATTATTCAGCTCAAAGAGCATCTTTTTCAGTGGTTCGACCCGTTTATAACCCAATTTGCTATTATTCAAACGTCAGTCAAGATATTCTTTTGTTTAACTGTCGTGACATACTGAACATGCCTTTGTCACGAGATTGCTAGGCTGTTTGTCCTAGGCCTATGTCATGACGCGTCGATCTGTTGGATGGTTGTGGTAATTTAGTTGAATAACTCAGTTGATCTGTACTGGATAGTGATTCAGTTCACTCTTAAGCAATCCTGCAGGGGCATGATGTCACGATGTGTCTCTGTCCTCTTTTCGTGTCATAATCCTATCTGTTTCTTTTCTCAAAAATAATTTCATTTTCTTTTAATCGTAAACTTTTTATAACCTGCAAAATAATAAATTTATGAAATGAAATGAACGCGTCCAACGTTTTCTCACACAGTTATTTAGAGGTGGCTCTTTTATAATTATATTATTCTTGAGTTCATCCTGAAAATGTCGATTACCTGCATCTCACTACCACTCAGGGACGTAGCCACGGGGGTGGGGGTTCCCGGGGGCACGTGCCCCCCCATTCCCGTTGCCCCCCAGGTGCCCCCACTAAAAAAGGCTAACAAAAGCTTGCCCCCAAAAGCCACACCACTGAAAGCTGGTGCCCCCTCCCCAAGATGCTGGTACCACCTCTCTACCAAATGAACACTTTTTACCCTCACCGGGACAAGGATCGGGGCTGCAAACTTCCGTCTCCTCTGCCTCCCCTGGGCAGTCATCCCCACCCCAGGAGGGAGCAGGATCGTCGCATGCTCTGCTGCGGGTTATGCTTCCACCGCCACAGGTCACTGAGCACTCGGACCACGCGCCCCACCCGGACCAGCCGCCGTGGACCGGGCACAGGTCCACCGGGCACGCCTCGGTCATATTAGCGGGACCCGGGCAGTCTGCACCCCCGTTCAAGGGTGGAGGATTGTCACAGGCCCTTTCGCGGTACCGAGTACTCACTCCACACGTCGAGGTGCAGTCTCCCCACGGAGTCCACTCGCCCCACTCGCCATCTTGAGGTCCTTACCAGAAATGAATCGGGAAAAATTGTTTCTTTTTTTTGGTCTTACCTTATTAAAATTAGATTATCTAAACCTTGGGGAAGGTGATAAGATTCTTTCGTACATGCATGTATGTGTAATGAAATAGTGTGAAAACACTCGTATTTTTATGAAATTGATGAACACTTTTAAGAATACATTTTCTCGGAAGCGGCAAAAATAGAGCAAACTTTCTTTAAAACAGTTATCTTTAAAACCTGCAAATCGAAACTGACATTTTAAAGTACATAACCACGTCTTCAAATAATACACAACAGTGTATTTCTAGAGTATTATTTACCAGAAACTTCAATGTAGAAATATTCATATCGAGGGGAAGACACAATTTGCCGTAACTGTCTATCATAGTAAGCAACCTCCTTATCATGATAGTAGTAGTAGCCAGTGTCCTCTTTGGTCAGATAAGCCGTCCATCTGTAACCGAGATAAATGAAGACATTTATGGATTTTTTAAGCTACCTCTTTATAAAGCTTTAGTTATTTCTGCTGTTATGTTGAAGTGGGACAGTCAGATAGTGAGTAGTTTCAAAACCCACAAATTGCCTGCATGGAAAATTAATTCAAGAAGTATGGCAGGTTGATACGGGGCACATTCGTAGTCCCATTTCTGATATCAGAAGTTACTGGATCTGTGATGGACAAGGAGACACCGAACTCTGCTTGCTGCAGTAGGTTTGGCGATCTACTTTTATTAGAGAAAGGTCAAGACTCGTGTAGAATTGGGAGTGGAGAAAGGAGACGGGGAAATGTTGCTTTTCTCTCTGCCTCGCCAATACGTACACGCGAAAAAAGATGTAGAAAAGCGAACGTACCTGACGTATCTCGAGTACACTCCCCGGTCTTGACGCAAGAAGCCAGACATTTCAGCGTTAGGCACTTCGTCTCCATTAGCCTTGTACACGAAGGGTCCCTCTGTGATGAAGCTGGGGCTTTTCTGAGGAGCAGTATTAAACGACAAATGAGTTATTGTAGGGTGGAGCTGCATCTCCTGTTTGTAAATTACATTCGGTGACATGGGGCTTCTCCCCCCCCCCAGTTTGGAGATTTGTTAGGTTACATCGTTTAAATAAGACTTGAGGCTATGCATGGCGAAAGTACTAACTATGTGAAGTTTGCGGTGACACCATGTAATCAAATTCTCTCTTTGAGTGTGTGTGGTTCTGAAAAGAACCGGGGTTTCCACGTTTAAAAACGTGGAAATAACTTGAGCATTCTGGTACTTCTCTGCAGAAAATGCCACACTGAAAAGAGAAAAGGCGCCCTTTGGCCCAAGTTATACGACTGCATAGTTGGGCAATCTTCAGATAAGGTTGTGTTTTACTCGGCTCATAATAAAGTTACGAAGGCGGGGTTGCCTTCAAGGGTGCAGAATAGAGCTAGGCTGGCTGAGTCTGGACTTGGCCTGAATCGGGCACGCCAGACTTCACATACGGAAGATGCAGGTAATTTTTTTGTTCGATTTGATTGGCTTGGCTTTGCTGTTAGGTGGTTGGTATGGCCTATGTAAGTTTGGATTGAAGGACCGGTTCGCTGTTAATTTTGCTTAAAAGGTTTGTTCTAAGAAGCTCTTGTTAAGTCTGGTTCAAACTCAGACAAAGCCGATGTCTCGCAGCATATTCCGAACGAGGCAATCATACGTCATATAAATTTACGGGAGCATACTACTTTTGCTTAATCCCAAATTAAATCTGTAAATGAATTTTACTCACTATGAAAAAATCAATCTCGAGTTTTTCCCCTTCCCAGGCCGACTCATTGCGGTAATCTAAGTGATCCAAAGCTTCCAGTAAAGTATAGTAACCTGTAACACCAATCGAGATCAAGACTCGGAATTTCTTCCAAAATTGCCCCTACAAGTAAAAGCAATCTTTTTCCCCCATTGCACTATGAAAGTGCAATTATTCCGCAAATTGCTAAAGAAGTACTAATAATTTATTTACAATAGGATAATTTTGCATTGTCCCGAATGAGAGCCTGAACATGAAGGTACACAGGGGTGAGATTTCTCAGGAGCTTTCCTGATTTCAGATTTTTTTCATCTTGGTTTTCTTGATTTCAGAATATATCAAACTATCTTTTTAATCTGTAAAATCCAGAGTCAACCACTGAGGTGTTTTAATCTATAAAAGTTGATATAGACTGACGCAAGAAATGGTTATTTTGTATTTTTAGGCAAACGAGAACGTATACTTAACACCCCATTCTGACAAGCATTCTAGAGTCCCGCCGAACCAAATTTAAAAAAAGCAAATTTTGAATTACACAAAAGTATGGCAAAAGTTCGACGTCTGAAACAATTACGAGCGACCAGGGGTGCCAGTAGGCCAAAAATCGACAGTTTGAGGCGCTCGTTGCGACACCAGAGCGACTTAGTTTCAGACGTCACTGTATTCATGGGCCGAACCCAATGCAATGTCTGCATTAAGTTTGTCTGTCTGAAACCTAAATTTAATTGGGTCGACCCAAGTCGCTCCCTTAATTCTATTTAGTTCGGCGCGACCCTAGAACGCATGTCTGAAACGGGTGTTTGGACACCACGCTGCAGTGGGCCCTTGAAACCTCTACCGAGTATTCACCGAAAAATCGAACTAGGTCTATGTACTGCTGGAAAATGATGAATGTCCCCAAAGTTGTGGAATTCCTTGGTCTCTCGACACCAGGGCTGGCCATTTACAAACAGTCCCATTATTTACATTAACTGGTACCCGGAAAATGTCCAAAAGTAAGGGCTGTCATGAAATTGATCTCTGTTTCGTAAAGCAACGAAGGCACGTACTCGCCGAGCATTTTCTGGGGAAACCGTCCCATTCCCCATTGGCGCAGTGCAGTGTTTCCTGGGACAGCAGAAAGTTCGGCTGAGTTGGATCTTCGTCCTCGTAGTGGTAGCCGAACCGACACCCAAATGTGACGGTCCGCTCGTTCCCCGTTGACGAGAGGACGTCGGTCACTTTAAACCTGGAGAACGTCTCGTCGAATGCCCCAGCAGCGCAGTCTGGAAAGAGCAAAATCTGTCTTATACTAGTGACGCCTATGACAACAGTTGTAATGATTTATTTCGGGTGAAAATACCAGTTATGGTCTCTTTAGATAATGCCATTTCAATTCGCTGCCGTGGGTCTTTGATTTTTGTGCAGTAACTTAAATGAAACCTCCCCTAGCTACGTCCCCTTTGATATCTTTGACCTGCCAATATACACTGGCGATACTTTTATTAAAAATTAGAGACGTCGTTGAATTTAGAGAAGGTTCATCGCCAGTGTCACATAATGACCAAAGTTACCCTGGTAGGCTTCGTCCACCATAGCAGCAAATATCAATAAGATCAGCGAAAGTCCGTTCCTTGTTTCCATCTTAGGGTAACCGAAGCAGAATCAGATTTAGTCCTGAGCACTTAAATGTAGCTGACTCTCTCGTCTTAAATTGGATGTGATTGTCATCCACACAGAGACTGACGTCCGGGTTAAAATCACACATAAAAATGCCTCCTTCAACAGAAAAGTACGAAATCAAACTTTAGAACGCGCGCGTATGTTATGCAGTCAAAGCACCGCGCGCAGTTATAGAACCCAGAGCTCAGCACGTGCTACCACGCTTAGCAACATAATTGTAGGAAGTTGGGAAGGCAGGGAGCAACATTTTTGCAGTTAATGTTGACTGACTCTTTTAATGCCTCGCTGGAAAGCTCATAACATAGACCGATCTGCAGGTGCAACAGCCCATATGAAGAATGTGCCCGTATGGAGAATTGGCGGATAATAAATTGAAAATCAAATGAAATCTGAAGGACCAAACAACACATCGTTTTTTGTTTGAGCGGCCTCGGGGACTTCAGTTGCCTGCCATGGGGCTCCAAACTTGGTTGATTTTACACTATTTTCAATGGCGCTCAAATTGGTTTAGTGCACCCATATCAGGTACAAAGAAAGTGCGCCCTCTCGATCTCACGCGACGCGATTGCTACCCGAACTGGTCCCCGGCTCATCCATTGCTTACAGCGTGTGCAGTCCTCAAGTGCTGGTTACCCAGATGGATACATGCGAAAAATTGACGGCCACAGTGGATCTATTTTGGAGAAATTAATCGCCAATCATGGGTAAGTTTACCACAAATTAAGGTATAGATAGGCTCACAAATAAACCAGATGATAAAATTCGGTGGCTCAAATGTACTTGTGTGTTTTGTTTTGGGAGAGATTAAATAATAGTGCCTCAAAGGGGTAGTAAATTCGAGCCCATCCCTGCGATCAATTCAGCTGTCATATGTACATGTACATTGTACGTTCACATGCACTGTACATACATGTACAATGTTAAGTCTGTAGATGTACATGTACTGTACATGTACATATCCGACCGCATGTGCATGCCACAAAGTACACCTGTAGACGTGCAGTTAATAGGCCTGATACAAATCGCCACTGCGTGTCGTCGTGAGTCATTTTAATTTTATGCATTCCATTCCATCCCATTCATTCTGTCTGGTATCAGTTCTTAGAAAGGGGGAAATATTTCTAGCAAAGTAAACCATTGAGGTACATGTAGCTATTGGTCCGGTAGCACCATGAATAAACCGAAGCCTGGTCACAGTCACTACTTGGCTCATGGCAAATGAAGACATGCAGGAAGAGGGTTGACATTGTCATCAAAATTAATTGAGTAATGCTGAAAAGGAGTTTGGCACAGTACATAGAACCTTTGCTGATTCAGAGATCTCACCCAAAGATCCATGTAGTCCAAATAATACAAATCTCAGCCATGTCTAGTTTTTGGTTGTGTACCGCACAGTTTGTCTTTCATTTATTAACCCTTATGTGCTAACCTGCTGATACATGTAGGGGTGAGGGCTGAATCCTAAATTCATTGTGACACTACAAAAAAAATTGCCAGTAATATAAAATGAACAGTGAAGTATCTATTGTGTCTAGTCCCATCATTGTAAGCAAAGTTAATGATCATTAAATTGAACATGAAAATTTATTGCCTTTTTTGTAATGAGTTTACGTCTGTATGTATGCACTATCGAGATATGTGAACTGACATTTTTGTCAGTGAACTTGTGAGGTAAACAAATTCCCACACTCAGGTACATGTACCGGTACATGTAAAACTCTGCCAGTTACCAACAGAAAAAGGGAATTCTTTATAGGCACCGTGATATGACATATTCTGTATGTCCAACTTTTGTGCTGGAAAAAATATTCTTCTTCTCTTGGAATAGCTGAAAAGTAGGAGAATGTAAGTATGAGATCCATGCCCTCCGTCGGCCATGTGTACATGTACATCCCTTTCTGGTCACTTGGTCAGCCATGCCTGCTGAAACAGCAGAAATGCTACTAATGAATTCATCTTGGATGTCCAACTGTTTCCTAAGATGCTTTGAATGAGCAGAGGAAAATGATAGCATTCCCCAAATAAAGGGTTGAAAGGACAAGAGTAAAATGTATATTATGAGGCACTGTTTATTTTGTAGTTATTATTTAATTTATTGGAAATGATTAAATCTTTTGTTTAGATCAACTGAGGAAATTTTCAACCAGCAAAATTATTTTGTTATTGAATATTTTTTTTGGGGGGGGGAGAGGGAGGTACTCTTTTTACTCTGTTTTTCTTGTTTGCTTTTTGTTTCATAAAAATGTCCCAACAAAGTTTCCTGTTAGGGTTGGTTCATTATTAAGGAGAAAACGAAAGTGAGCTTTCAGTGTGATCAATAACTATGCATTTTATATTTTCACTGGGATATTGGTAATTTCCCTGCTGAATTTATGCAATATTTACATGAAGTACCGGTATAAACCAGCTTGCAGAGATTCGCCTCGAAAAGCCCCCAAAAGAGACAACATGATCAAAGACTGGAGGCTTGTGCAATATTTAGGACCTTGGTGCCACAGCAAGAGCTACATGTACATGTACATGGCAGAAAATATCATGACTTGGCAAATCATGTACTAAGCTACATGTACATGTATTAAAGCCAAACTTAGAATGAGAACCATTCACAAGAGAACTCTGTGTGGGGCTTGCCTGTTTTGCTAAGCAAATGTTTTCTCTGCTCAGTGAATGTTTATGTTGAATAGCTGAACTCCGCAGCAGGTGTCACAACTTGGCTGATGACATGGCCATACCAGTCATGACACCTGAACCCGTGTATGGATAGCTGCTCCATTGTAATTTCCATGTTTGATTTGCCGCTGTTTAAGCCCCCCCCCAAATACTTTGCTTCCTGTTTCCCGACGGACCCTAATTTTTTGGCATGACCCTAAAATTATTGGCAAGTTTAGAAAAACAAATTTAAATAAATTTAAAAATAAAAATAATAAATCCTGTTGTCTTTTCTGTCTTCACAAAACACCTTTGAACAACCTTTCATGTCAAAATCCTTTTTTTAAGTATATGTTTTCCTACTTAAATTTGCAACTTGTGAAACGAAACTGTTATTTTCACAAGGCCCCGTAGCATTTTGCTGTTGACCTACTCACCCCATTTTTGAGGGGCATGTAATCAGAAGCAGAACTATTTTTTCTGATCATTATCTCTTAACATTACAACTTTTTATCTGTGATTGAAGGACCTTCAGTTACACCTGTACCTTTCATGTAGATGCAGGACTGATCTTGGCTAGGCCTGCAGGATTTGTACGTAGACACATTGTACAATGTTGATGTTTTCTGCATTGTTGGTAAAAAAAAAAGGTAGCGAAGGCGGCATTGTTCCTGTATGCGTGGGTTAACCATTGGAGCAAAAAATATTGTAGTAATCTAATGAGATGACGTCATTACTCACTGCAGTGGCACCGCTCATGGAGGGTCTTGAACTTTTAGCACATGTCCAGTTGACAAATATCACAACACCCTATTGGTTGACATGGCACATGTAACATGTGCTTGGCACTTGTGCTGTGAACATGTTGCCACTGCAATGATGGCTTGGTTCTGATTCGGTCATTCAATTTACAGTTGCAGCTACATGTACCTGTCTAAGTTTTCCAGACAATTTTGTTAATCTGTTTTCACCAGTGCAAGAATTTGCACTGGTGGTTGTACATGTATTATTAAGACAACACGAGAGCAGCCGCAAACATGTGTACATGTAAGTCCGGAATGAATCATTGTTCTTGACTGTTCACGTTTGGTCTGCCTGATCCTTAATTGCTTGAGACTTGAGTTGTCACTGCAAATAATGTATTTTTGTGGGGGGGGGGCTTGGTTTTTGCAAGTGCAATTACCCATCATGAGTAGGTCTATGTACAGATGTACATTAGCATTTGGTTAACTTGAGAAACCTTGCCTGGGGGCAGTGCCTTACATTGTTAACAGTAGTCCCAGAACCCTTGGATCTGGGCAATGTATAAACCATGGCAGGAGTCCAGTGTACGTGCATTATAAGCTACCTAACTATTACACCCTACAGTTTATGCCTGGCCTCATACCACCTTTGTCTCCTGCATAATGACTTTCCTTTTTTGAGGGAGGGTTTGTTTGAACTGTCTGACCAGAATCCATGTGACTGAAGGAGAGAACAATGGCTGTCATTGATGGCACAAAGCCTCAAGAGACTTAAGCCAGCGTTTACTTGTGGGCTGCAGGGGCTTATTATGGTGTGGCTGAGGATTACAGCCCCTGCTTGGTATGTTCAGTGGCTTTTTAAGATATGATTATTGCAGCAACTGAGATTTTTCTACTTTTTTTTTTTACCCCAAGTAATGTAAATGTGAAGTGGGATTTTGAGTTCAGAAAAATGAAATGAAAGGCCCACGTAATTAATTGTTTGGACTGATAGAAGTTGCCCACTGAAACAACCCCTGCCTGTAGAGTTTAGATAGCCAAGATATGGTTTCCTTCATCCAAGGCCAACTTACCAGTGGTGCCTGTGATATCATAACCCCTCTTTAATTTCACCGTGACCTGTCGGGACTGCAAAGGTTAACTTGCTGGAGACAGGAAGAATGCTCTGAATTCGAGAACGCCACAAGTCTCACAGTCTGTGTCTGTGCATGTGTGTGGTTAATGGCGATCAGCGTAAGGCTATGATTTATGAAGCTCCCGTCGCTGCCCGAGATCCTTGATCGCCCCCACAGAATCACCCGCACACATCATCTGGGGAGACCGCCCGGTTGAACGTTTTTGACCAAACTGGGAAGTTATTATCACACAAACAGTTATTCATTTCTGGATTTGTTCTCTTCTTTCTCCTCTCTCCAATATCGGAATATTTCCCTGACTGGTTCCACCTGGACACCATTTGTCTGTCGGCTGACTGTCCACGATCCACCATACCCAACATGCCCGTGCTTACCACCCTGACAGCTGTAAGTATACCCTTTACTGGTGTCTGGTCTGCTAAAGTGCAGTGTTGATTGACTGAACAATCCCCAGTAGAAGTCGGAAACTGTTATTTTTTAATGTGGTAATCCACCCTAGGTATTGATAGACTTTGGGTAGTAATTTATGGGGTAGATGCCCTTGCCATTTGTCATCATATTTGGTAAACTTTTTAAATTCCCAGGAATCCTTCACTGACAGTAACGGGTACACCTGTTTTGGGGAGTCCCTTTTCATGGTTCCCAAATTTCAGGTGTTCCCCCCATCCCGGGGAAATGTTTAAAAAATGATTGCAGAAAGATATACCTTTGCAACCAGCATGCCAACATAACATCTGATTGCAAACTGTGCAAACTTAATTTTTTTGTATATACATGTAAAGTGTGTCTTTCCAGAAAAGAGGTGAAGCTTGAAATCAAAAATTTCCCAAACAATGTCCAGTAATGCTTTGTATTGTACTTTATTGGAACTCATCTCATTTTGATCGTACAGTATGTGTTTCTGGTTTGCCACTGGGCACTTCCAGAGTTTCACGTTACTTTAAATGTACAGAGTGTTGAAAAAAACACAAAAAGAGGTATGCTAACCCAAACATATCTTCAGCGTTAGATAGTTCTGTATATTCATAAACACAGTTGGACCTCATACACACTGATACACATAGATACATGTATGTGCATTTTACTCACATTTTGTATGTAGCCTACCTGTACATGTACGTCGCTGCCATAAAAATACATCCCCCGTCTTTCTTTAGTAATAGATTCATTAGTATTCATTTCTCATGAATATTCATTTTTATGGTCTAATCACAATCGTCCGTTGACAAAATAGAGACTATGTGTTGTATTTTGAATACGGGTCGTTAGCATGATTTCAATGTGAGCTGGAGCTGAGGGACAGAACACCTTCAAACTGTTTCTTTCCTGGGATTCCTTGTACAGATGCACAGAATAAACCAGCAACCTCTAGCCCTTTTTAAATGCTCTCATTACAGCAAGGATCACATGTACATGGTTGACTTTAGGGCCACATGCAGTCACACATAGACTGTGGTTCACCACGCCCAGTAATAAAGACACAGAACTTACATGTAAAAACAGGAAAAGAGTTGTGCAATGAATGTGTCGTACATGTAGGTACATTGACATGTACTTACATGTACATGTAAGTACATGTACGTGTAGTAAATGGGGATCCGAAACCACATTTCCTCTTGTTTTGGAACATTTCATATCAGGTTGTGGTTTGGGAATCGAAATTAAAGCTACTTACCAGTACATGTAATGGAAGATTTCATCCGGAAAATGTATCTACATGTACATCTACCGGTATGCGCGTGTACATGGCACACTTTGATCACAGATCCATGTACATGTATATGTACACATAGTGAAACTTGGAACAGTTTTCAAACACAAAGAAAAACACACAGTTGTTATAAAAAAAGACACAAATACTAACATCCATTTTACATGAACATGCTCTCTATAGAAACTTTAGATGTACCATTGTACCGGTACATAAAGGATGTACATCATGTGTCTACATGTATGTGTAGTTTTTCCAATATTCACAACAGTACACAAAGAATAGTACATCGTCATTGTTACACGTTCATGTACTGTACATGTGTGTACTTGTGAGTGAAGAATTTCAACCTTCAGTGTAAAAGTTCAGTAGATCTTGTGGCTTTGGCTATGTGTTGTAGTAGAAAGGTACATGTACATGTATGTAGTTGTATGCCATCAATAAAACCCATACAGCAAGGCTAAAGCAAATTGAACAGGTTTTTTTGGTTCAACTAAATACAGTACATGTAATTAGTTGCACCGAGTATAAAATTGAAGTACTTGCATGAATTAACAGATGTTGTATGCAGATTAATAATAGGAACAAACAGGATTTACGTTGTAATATCCTTTGAATTGCAGATCATGATTCATTACATTTGTCAGTGAAATCCCATCTGATCCTACAGGCCTAATTCCTGTCAATATTGTAGTTGAGACACCTAAGTACGGCAGTAACGTTGCAAGACCTCTCAAGACCAACACACATGACCTGCCTTACAAGCATTCCTTTGTCATTGTTCCTCCCAGTATTTGTGACTGGTTTGCGAGGGTGTGGACTACAGCACTAAATGAATACTGTAGCCACGCACAGTTTCGTGTGTTTATTTAGGGAGAGGGGCCGGGAATAAAATGTGACAACTGAAGGGGACTGGATCCCCATCCCCACAGAAGGTTGGTGTGCTCCTCTCTGTCCTCTGTCCTGTACTAAAAGTTCCAACACTGTAAAGACCCTGACCCAGAGTAAACCACAGCCACATGACATCACTTTCCTGACGGATCTTCAGTCAACCCTCACACCCCCCCACACACACACTGTATGGCACTCAATGAACGGCAGGCATCTTGAATGTTCAGGGGTCTTACTCACTTCCTCTCTGGCCAGTCTAGCTTGGCCGCCAACTTCCCTTTAAACTTCAAGTGTAACTTTATACTTGGTGCTGTCAAAAGTTGCCGTCATATTTTGTCTTTTTCTCGACCCAGTCTTGATTTTTTTCAAGATGTATTTTTTGCGTTGGGAGATGTTAATTTTATATAACAGGTTTTGCCCTTACCCAACGTATATATTAGTCTTGATTTCTTTCCATAATACATTCACCATCCGCAGGTTTTGCATTTCGACATTTAATTTGAACCTTTTGGAGATCCCTGTTGAATTTCAAAACAACTGATTTGCACACTGTTTATTTTGTACAAATACTAAAAGTTTCAAACTTAATTATTTATTTTCATGTTATTCTTGAAATGTGGCACACATGGGTATGAGTTCAAATGAACAAATCTGTTGTTTAAGTAAAAACTCATTCAGTGTTTCCCCACTTCTATGCTAAAAATGGAAACAGGCGAGGTGCGTGCACAATGTAATTAAGTTGTAGTTTTGTACTGTACTTAGTAACCTGTCTTTATACCCTCTCGCGAAAGGACGATGCAAGTGAACTTTCTCTAATATTTTTTTTAATCTCAAAATGCTTTGTAGCGAACGTATCTCGTTCATGTACATATACGTACATGTATGTATGTAATTCTATCAACAGCCAAATTACCAGTATACAAGGAATTTTATGC